TTATTTATATGAATTTATAGGGAAATTTTATGCTGATTGATACAACATTTTGTTTTATTCTTTCGTTATTTACTAGCCGAAGGAGGCGGAGCCAGACAGTGCAATAAGAACTTCTGAGATGGACGTTAGTGCACTGGTCTAAGCTCCTCCGATTCGTTGCTTTTCCTATGAGATGCGGTCAACGGCGGGATTGGATATTGCAATAAATAAAAATCTATTCAGTTAATGTACTCATCTAAAAATTACAGAAGTTAATTCACTTGGAGAACAAAGGAAATGTTACAATTCATGGATAATCCCTGTGGAGGAGTAAAGCTCCATCAAATAATGCTCTCCCTCAGTATAGATAGCTAGATTCTTGTCTTTTTGTTCTTAGTAAGGCCGCATGTTTTGGCGTACAACTGATTCTACTGCTTTGCCTATATTTGCGAATGACGAAGTCAAACGTCAAGTGTCACCATAACAGCAACCTCACAATAATAAACAATAAAGAGATTGTGGTGAGATTAACTATCCAACATAGTCCACATGACGTGCAAATAAGCAATTATAGGTCACTGTACGGCCTTCGGCAATGAACTACTAGTATAAAATGCCCCGTCGTGAAAAAATGTAAAACAATTCAAACGAAAACAGCCTTCTGACTTGGTACAGGCACTTACAGAATGTGACAGAGTTAAACATGTTTGTGTCCGCTCTTCCCCCCATACCTGGGACAATGGTGTAACAGCACAACATGAAAAATAAATAGCTGCGCCAAGAGCGCATGATATACCCTTATTGTGCATATTGATATTGTCGCACGAATAAAATAGAATATTTAGAAGGCATTTAATCATAAGCAAATAAAATGGCTTTTAGAGAAAATTGAGGATAATACCTTAGGTGTATGAATATTGCGTTCAATATGACTGTCTAATTACTCTGGATTGAAGAAATGTTTAAATATCAAAAGTGAATCCACGTTCACCAATCAGAACAACAGCATTAAGTTTATAGTACTAGTTTGATCTCTGTATAATGGAGCTAGTGCATAGCTAGGACGGACGGACGCACATTTGTACCATAAAATTCCTTTTATCTATCTGACCATTACAACAATCCAAGCAAACCCAAATTATGGTCAACATGTGAAAAATTTACTTCAATATGACTTTTTAAAGTTACTATATAACGAAAAACCGAAAAATCAAAAACAAATTCAAAAGAGAGCTTTCGTTTATCTATCCCAGCGATAATTAAAAGTTTTGAGGAAATCAATCCAGGAATAAAGGAGTGAGTGCGCGAAATCTAAAGAAAAGTTGCTTAAATTCTACCAGTTAATGTCCCGTTACTCTTAATCAATAGAGACACAAATTCTTAAATCGAATTGAAGCTTTCTTCCGTCAATTCTAATGTTGTCGTTAACTTGTAAGAGAATTGGGTGAAGCAAATGTTGACGAACGGATGAATGAACGGACGGACATTTGTATATCATAATACGTCCCGCCTTCGACGGGCGTATAAAGATTGTAAAAATAAGTTAGAAATGGCTTGACTCGTCAGATAGGCACTAAGCACAAAAGCATCTGACATAAGACAAAAGACACAAAGTACCGGTATAAGAATACTCAAGCTACTGAAAGCTAGATAAAATATTAATGTCATATTTTTTTAAATAAGAAGTGTCTTTTAACCTACCTGGTCCAAAAGGGATAGGCGAGCTACTACCATTATTTTGCGTCTTTTGTCATATTTTTTTAAACAGGGAGTGCCTTTTATTTTACGTGGCTCAATGGGCTAAGTGAGCTACTGTCAACACTTGGCGTCCGATGTCGTCGTCTGATGTTCATCCGTCAGTCCGTCGTCATTAACTGTAAACAAAATGTGTTCTCCGAAACTAAAAGGCCAAATATTTAAAAAATGTATTCAGGGATTTGATCCATCAAAAACATCGCTGCTGTTGCTCAAATAGAGTACAGGGGGACTAGACAGGTCAATGTCTTTATATGATGAGATTTTCAGATAAATCGGACTGTCATTTGTGGAGTTATTGCCCCTGACAAGTATTTGTTTTTATGAAATTAGCGGTTTTTGGTTATCATCTTGAAACTTTTATGTTGTGCTCTTAAACCTTTGTCCCAGTTTTGGAGGGATGGTTTTGGCGCTTCAAACATGTTTAACCCCGCAACATTTTCTATGTGTATGTCAAAAGTCAGGAGCCTGTAATTCAATGGTTGTCGTTGGTTTATGTATTTCATATTTCGTAAATTCTATTGTATCAATAAGGCTGTTGTTTTTTGTTTTTTTGTCTTTTGAATATGATTCACCATTTTCATGTCGGGTATCAATAGCCTCGTCGTATCTTCTCTCTCCTTTTAATGTCTCTATAATAATGCTCGAGGTTTAAAAAATGAAAATCTAAAACCTTATGCACACGTTGAAAAACTGTTCACTAAAATAGAACAGTAATGACAGCTCACAAAATTGCCCAAAATACTGACTTGTAACCCAACCAATGTGGTATTTATAAATTTCCGATAAAGAAACGCATGCCTTGAAAGGGACAAAAAGCTTATATAAAAAATACACCAGCGATTTCTGCTTTAAGTGATGAGTTTCTGTGCTCAATATATGTATTGTTAATATCCGTATGAAGCTAATTCTATCTAATTTTCGTACTATTTGGTTTGTAATTCTATGAGAACAAACATAAAGATAAATAAAAGACTAAAGAAATAATAAAGACAACAAAATCTTCAGACAATATTTTCAATGAATTTTTAATACGACAAGAAGTATAACAAAAATACCATCTCCAAGGTAAATTAAAATAGAGGAAGTAAAAAAACCCTTACAAAATCAAACATTATCAACCAACGGAACGAGTGATAAACAAGTGTCATATTCTTGATATGGAACAGGCATTTTCCAAAAACAAATTGGTGGGTTATATCCCATTTGTATGACAGTCGTTTACAGTTCTGTTATATTGACGATATTGAGATGGAACTTGACTACTATGTTGAATCATTCCACTGCATCGTGCAATGTTCATGATGCAAAATTGTGCATTCATAAACAAAAGACAAAACGTTAAAATGAAAAGGCTAAAGTGTCCAATCGTATGGCTGTTGTTATTTTACTTTCTACCAAATACATTTGTAACCGAATGTCTTGAACCGTTTATCAATAACTTTTTAAATATGAGCAAACCAAGAATCTTTCTTTTAAACTTTTTTGAAATTCCTCGTTAATCGGACGGTTTTGTTTTCTATTCTTTTATTTCGTTATGATAAAATATTCTATTGCATTTACTATAGCCATCATCTAAAAAATGGATATTTTTATGGTATTTTATTTACCCCTTCATCACGAAAAAGGAAGAATTACAAATGAATCAAATATTTCAGATGTTCATAATTAAGACAGTAGTCTGTCTGATTTAATTTTTTTTTAAAATGCCTTGTATCATCCCAGAAAAGATGAAATGCGTTTAGAGAATAAAATTGAGAATGGAAATGGGGAATGTGTCAAAGAGACAACAACCCGACCATAGAGCAGACAACAGCCGAAGGCCACCAATGGTTCTTCAATGCAGCGAGAAACTCCCGCACCCAGAGGCGTCCTTCAGCTGGCCCCTAAAAAAATATGTATACTAGTTCAGTGATAATGGACGTCATACTAAACTCCAAATTATACACAAGAAACTAAAATTAAAAATGATACAAGACTAACAAAGGCTAGAGGCTCCTGACTTGGGACAGGCGCAAAAATGCGGCGGGGTTAAACATGATTTTTGAGATCTCAACCCTCCCCTATACCTCTAGCCAATGTAGAAAAAACAAACGTACAACAGTACGCACAGTAAAACTCAGTTTAAGAGAAGTCCGAGTCCGATGTCAAAATAGGAAACAAAAGAAAATAAACAAAATGACAACAGACTACTAGCAGTTACTGACATACCAGCTCCAGACCTCAATTAAACTGATTGAAAGATTATGTCTTCATCATATATCAGGTACAATCCCTCCTGTTAGGGGTTTAGTATTATACCGTCATAAAATATATGAGAAGAACATAACCCGTGTCATAACAACAACTGGTTTTAGAATAAATATGTTTAATTCCGATGCAAAGACCCTATAAGTGAATCAATATTAAAGCCAAAACATGCCATTTTTAATAACCTGACAACAGTATCGTAACTATATCCCTTCTTAATAAGTCTGTTTAAAGGTTTTGTTAGCTTTTGAGGTGAATACTGACAATTTTGTGCTTTGTAAAGAAATATTTACCATAAAAGATTGGATGTGAAATACCCGAACGTATAAGATGTCTGCATGTTGAGTTATATTTACGAATGATGTCCTTATACCGATGATAAAATTTAGTAAATGCTTTGCCTACTACTATTGGCTACTGTTCAATTTCTACAAATGTTGAAATAATATATAATGTATGCATACTCTTATATATTGTATCGTTAAATCTGCTTAATGAAGACGACACAATAACTCTGTTTGACTTGTGTCTTATCCAATTTTAAAATATATCTTAACTAAAAGTGTAAATAGAGAAGACTTTGTATAACAAACACATGCAGTGAATGTGTTGAAAAATTCGCCATAATCAAATGTAACTGTAAGTAATGACAGGCTAATTCATGTACAGATTTAAAATACAGAACAAAAATAAATGTGAACTTTTTTCGTGTTTCAAACTGATTAGATGAATCTATCTGTTTCCTACATATTAAATAATCTGGTAAAATGTTTTGACACGGAACGATGGAAAACAACAAAAAATACACTTTGTTCCTGAGGACGCTAGAAGCTCAGAAACAGCAAGACATTTTTGAGAGCAACCGTACAAATATGACCTTGATAAATAAGAATAAGTAAATTCAATTCCAATAATAATTGCTTATCAAAAATAATACAAAAAAGCTGTGCGAAATACGATGCATTTCGTCTATTAAGAATGGTTCACGTTTTTCTTTCTTTATTACATTTTATTACCTGATTGATCATTCTTCAGTTTTGCTGAAATTTCCTCAGTTCTTTTTTCAATCTTGGATATGGCCAGGGTCATCTGAGCTACAACTAGAGCATTAATGAACAATATTACTACGTAGGTCATGGTTTTCAAGTTAAGTGATTTTTTTTTTCAATAAATGTCTAGCGGAGTTGATATATAAGACTGTCGAATGTTTTGTGTTATTTTCACGGTCTGAAGCTTAAGATATACACAATGTAGAAAAAGGGGAGAACATTATTATTTCAATCAGCAGTCAGGTAGACGGTGAACGGTCATATTACATTTACACTAAGCGTGTAATCATGAACAGTTAAAGAATTTTAACACTGTACATGTTATTGATAAAAACTTTTTAAAATGTGTATTTTAGACAAAACCATTTCAAATTGTACTCAACACCACTATTTACAAAATCCAAAACGTCAAACGCAATGATTGAGAAATAAACCGCTTTCCAGTGTTAATGCATTACCAACAAAACGAAGCAAGAAAATGTTAGAACTCTAAAAATGTATTGACTTTTCTTCTATTTCAAATTGCTATTGTGGGTGGAATTTTTGGTAAGGCCTTGGCTCATATCTGATATGTCAAAAAAACTTAAACCATGCATACATCTTTAATTATTAAATACTTAAAAAATACTAATTTAGCAATTTCAGGGGCCAAATAATGGCCTCGTATTGTTTTGTTGGTCAAAATATTTTGTATTTGTTATTGCAAATATTCGAAAGACCTATTTAACTAAACATGCTAAATACCTGAAATCATCCCCGAGAAGTTGACATGTGTTTTCTGTTGATAAAAAATGCATACCTACTACTATTGGCTTAGGTCCAATTTATACAAATGTTGAAATAATATGAAATGTATGCATATTCTTATATATTGTATCGTTAAATATGCTTAATTAAAAAGACATCATAACTCTGTTTGACTTGTGTCTTATCAAATTTTAAAATATATTTAAACTAAAAGTGTAGATAGAGCAGATTTTGTATAACAAACACATGCAGTGAATGTGTTAAAAAATACAACATTATCAAATGTTATTGTTAGTAATGACAGGCTAATTCATGTACAGATTTAAAATACAGAACAGAAATAAATGTGAATTTTTTTCGTGTTTCAACCTGAGTAGATAAATCGACCTGTTTCCTACATATAAAATAATCTGGTAAAATGTTTTGACACGGAACGTTTTCAAAAATACACTTTGTTCCTGAAGACACTAGAAGCTCGGAAACAGCGAGACAACTTTGAGAGCAACCGTACAATTATAACCATAATAAAGAAGTAAAAGTAAATTCAATTCCAAAAAAAAATAATTACTTATAAAATATAATACAGAAAGAGCTGTACGAAATACAATACATTTTGTCAACTAAGAATGGTTGACGTTTTTCTTTCTTTTTTACATCTCATTACCTGATTGATCTTTCTTCTGTTCGGCTGAAATTTCCCCAATTCTTTTTTCATTCTTAGATATGTCCAGGACCATCTGAGCTACAACTAATTATATTAACTAGCATTAATGAACAATATTAATACGGAGGTCATGTCTTTTCGGATAAGTGTTTTTCTCAATATATGGCTTGCAGAGTTGATATATTAGGCTGTCGTATGTTTTTGTGGGATTTGTTTGGTCTGAAGATATACACAACGTAGAACAAAGGGAGAACATTATCATTTCAATCAGCAGTCATTTAGACGGTGAACGTTCATATTACTTTTACATTAAGCGTGTAATCATGAACAATTAAAGATTATTTACACTGTACAAGTTAATGATGAATTAAAAAAAAATGTATTCTAGACACAGCCATTTCAAATTGTACTCAACACCACTATTTACTAAATCCAAAAGGCAAAAATGCAATTTCCTATTGTTAATTATCCATTTTTAGATGGTGACGTTCCCTTGTCACCATCTTATGGTGTTTATGTATCTCAACTTGTTCGATTCGCTCGTGTATGTAACAACGTATTTGATTTTAACGAAAGAAACCTCTGTATTACTGAAAAATTATTACACCAGGGTTTTCGATATCACAAACTAGTCAAAACATGTACTAAATTTTATCATCAGTACAAGAACATCATTCGTAAATATAAATCAACATGCAGACATCCAATCTTTTATGGTAATATTCTATACAAAGCACAAAAATGTAACATTCACCTCAAAAGCTAACCAAACATTTAAACAGACTTATTCAGAAGGGATATAGTTACGATACTGTTGTCAGGTCATTAAAGATGGCATATTTTGGTATTAATATTGATTCACTCATAGGGTCTTTGCATCGGAAATAAACACATTTATTCTAAAACCAGTTGTTGGCATGATACGGGTTATGTTCTTATATATTTTATGATGGTATGTTACTAAACCCCTAACGGGAGGGATTGTGCTTGATTTTCATATGATGAAGACATAATCTTTCAATCAGTTTAATTGAGGTCTGGAGCTGGCTTGTCAGTAACTGCTAGTATTCATTTGTTAATTTATGTATCATTGTCATTTTGCTTAGTTTCTTTTGTTACCTATTCTGACATTGGACTCGGACTTCTTTTAAACTGAGTTTTACTGTGCGTATTGCTGTGTGTTTGTTTATTCTACATTGGCTAGAGGTATAGGGGGAGGGTTGAGATCTCACAAAACATGTTTAACCCCGCCATTTTTTTGCGCCTGTCCCAAGTCAGGAGCTTCTGGCCTTTGTTAGTCTTGTATGTTTTTTAATTTTAGTTCATTTATATGTTTTGGAGTTAAGTGTGACGTCCATTTTCATTGAACTAGTGCACATGTTTGTTTAGGGGCCAGCTGAAGCCCGCTTCCGGGTGCAGGATTTTCTCGTTGTGTTGAAGACCCATTGGTGGCTTTCGGCTGTTTTCTACTCATTGGTCGGGTTGTTGTCTCTTTGACACATTCCCCATTTCTATTCTCAATTTTAATGATTGAGAATTAAATCCCTTTTCCAGTGTTAATGCATTACCAATAACAAAAAAAGAAGAAAATGTTACAACTCTTGAAATGTATTGGCTTTTCCTCTTGTTCAAATAATGAGGAATTTTTGGTAAGTCCTTGGCTCATATCTGTTATGTCCAAAAAACAAAAACCATGGATCAACTTTTAATTTTGAAAAACTTAAAAATTACTACTTTTGCAATTTTAGGGGCAAAATAATGGCCTCACATTGTTTCATCGGTCAAAATATATTGTATTTGTTATTGTAAGTATTCGAATGACCTATTTCACTAAAATACCTCAAATCATCCCCAAGAAGTTGAAATGTGTTTTTTGCTGATAGCAAATGCATGCCTACTACTATTCGCTACTGTCCAATTTATACAAATATTGAAACGATATGGAATGTATGCATAGTCTTATATATTGTATTGTTAAGTATGCTTAAGAAGAAGACCCATAACTATATTTGACTCATGTCTTATCCAATTTTAAAATATGTTTAAACTAAAAGTGTAAATAGAGTAGATTTTGTTTAACAAACATATGCATTGAGAGCGTTGAAAAATTCGACATAATCAAATGCTACTGTAAGTAATGACAGGCTAATTCATGTACAGATTTAAAATACAGAACATAAATTAATGTGAACTTTTTTCTTGTTTCAAATTGAGTAGATGAATCGATCTGTTTCCTACATATAAAATAACTTGGTAAAATGTTTTGACACGGAACGTAGGAAAACAACAAAAATACACTTTGTTCCTGAAGGCACTAGAAGCTCGGAAACAGCAAAACAACTTTGAGAGCAACCGTACAATTATAACCATAATGAATAAGAAAAAGTAAATTCAATTCCTAAAAAATAATTACTTATAAAAATAATACAAAAAGAGCTGTGCGAAATACGATACATTTTGTCAATTAAGAATGCTTGACGTTTTTCTTTCTTTTTTTACATCTTATTACCTGATTGATCTTTCTTTTGTTCGGCTGAAATTTCCCCAATTCTTTTTTCATTCTTAGATATGATCAGGGCCATCTGAGCTACAACTATAGCATTAATGAACAATATTAATATGGAGGTCATGTCTTTTCGTACGAGTGTTTTTCTCAATACATGGCTAGCAGAGTTGATATATAAGACTGTTGTATGTTTTTGTGGGATTTGTGTGGTCTGAAGATATACACAACGTAGAACAAAGGGAGAACATTATTATTTTAAACAGCAGTCATTTAGACGGTGAACGTTTATATTACTTTTACACTAAGCGTGTAATCATGAACAATTAAAGAGTACAAGTTAATGATGAATTTTAAAAAAAATTATATTCTAGACACAACCATTTCAAATTGTACTCAAAACCACTATCTACTAAGGCTAAAATGCAATGATTTTGAAATAAACCCCTTTTCCAGTGTTAATGCATTACCAATAACAAAAAAAGAAGAAAATGTTACAACTCTAAAAATTTATTGGCTTTTCCTCTTGTTCAAATAATGAGGAATTTTTGGTAAGTCCTTGGCTCATATCTGTTATGTCAAAAAAAACAAAAACCATGGATCAATTTTTTATTTTGAAAAACTTAAAAAATACTACTTTTGCAATTTCAGGGGCATAATAATGACCTCATATTGTTTTATCTGTCAAAATATATTGTATTTGTTATTGTAAAATATTCGAATGACCTATTTCACTAAAATACTTTAAATCATCCCTGAAAAGTTGATATGCGTTATCTGCTTATAGAAAATGCATGCCTACTATTGGCTACTGTCCAATTTATACAAATGTTAAAATAATATGTAATGTATGCATATTCTTATAGATTGCATTGTTAAATATATTTAATAAAGAAGATCCAATAAGTCTGTCTGACTAGTGTCAGAACCAATTTAAAAATATGTTTAGACTAAATGTGTAAATAGAGTAGATTTTGTAAAACAAACACATGCAATGAATGTGTTGAAAAATACCACATTATCAAATGTTATTGTTAGTAATGAAAGGCTATTTCATGTACAGATTTTAAATACAGAACAGAAATAATGTTAACTTTTTTCGTGTTTCAAATTAAGTAGATAAATCGATCTGTTTCCTACATATGAAATAATCTGGTAAAATGTTTTGACACGGAACTTTGGAAAACAACAAACATACACTTTGTTCCTGTAACCATAGAAGCTCGGAAACAGCGAGACAACTTTAAGAGCAACCGTACAATTATAACCATAATGATGAAGTAAAAGTAAATTCAATTCCAAAAAAATAATTACTTATAAAAAAAATTACAAAATGAGCTGTGCGAAATAGGATACATTTTGTCAATTAAGAAAGGTTGACGTTTTTCTTTTTTTTTTTACATCTCATTACCTGATTGATCTTTCTTCTGTTCGGCTGATATTTCCCCAATTCTTTTTACATTATTAGATATGTCCTGGACCATCTGAGCTACAACTATAGCATAAATGAACAATATTAATACGGAGGTCATGTCTTTTCGGATAAGTGTTTTTCTCAATATAAGGCTAGCAGAGTTGATATATTAGACTGTCGTATGTTTTTGTGGGATTTGTTTGGTCTGAAGATATACACAACGTAGAACAAAGGGAGAACATTATCATTTCAATCAGCAGTCATTTAGACGGTGAACGTTCATATTACTTTTACATTAAGCGTGTAATCATGAACAATTAAAGATTATTTACACTGTACAAATTAATCATAAACAAATATAAAAGTGTGTATTTAAGACTCAACCATTTCAAATTGTACTCAACACAACTATTTACTGAATTCAAAAGATTATACACTACATATAAGATAATCGGTAAAATGTTTTGACACGGGAACGTTGGAAAATAACAAAAATACACTCTGTTCCTTAAGCCGCTAGGAGCTCAGAAACAGCGAGACACTTTTGTGAGCAGCCGTACAATTATAACCTTGTTAAAGAAGAATGAGTAAGTTCAATTCCAAAAACAAATTGCTGATAAAAATAAGTACAAAGAGAGTTGTGCGAAATACGATGCATTTCGTCAATTTAGAATGGTTGACGTTTTTCTTTCTTTTTTACATCTCATTACCTGTTCGATCATATTTCAGTTCGTTTAAAAATTCCTCCAATCTTTTTTCATTCTTTGATATGTCCAGGGCCATCTGAGCTTCTACCACAGCTAAAATGAACAATATTACTATCTCTAAGTTAAGTGTTTTTTTCTAAATAAATGGCTAGTGGGGTTGATATATAAGACAGTCGTGTGTTTTTTTTTTTTTCAACGTAGAACAAATGGAGAAACTTATTATTTCTTTCAGCAGTCAGGTAAACGGTGAACGTTCATTCTACATCTTAAAATAGCGTGTACCCATGAACTATTAAAGATATAAAACAGTTTACAAGTTAAAGATGAAAGAAAAAAATTGAAAATGTGTAATTTAGACACAACCCTTTCAAATTGTACCTAACACCACTACTTACTAAATTCAATTTGGAATTATTGAGAGAGGCAAAATCTCAATGAATAAGAAATTAACCCCTTTCCAGTGTTAATGTATAACCAACAAGAAAATATTACAACTCTAAAAATGTATCGGCCTGAAAAAATAGATAAAAAAAAACTGTACACAGCCAAAATGTTCAACAAAATACGATATACAAATAAGTCAACATGGTCGAAACTACTAACTGACCCGTTATAAGAGTTATTGCTCTTGAAAGAAGAGTATTGTCCTTTTTTGCAGCCACTATAATAGATAGACAAACTGTAACAAGCAAACATACACAGCAAATAATATCTACAAACAAGTCAAAATCGTCGAAATCCAAGATTGACCAATTCAAGGAATCAATGTCGTTGAGAGACGATTTTTAGTTAATTATTGTAGTTTTGCTGAAACTATTATAGATATAAAAAAAATTGTAAACAGAAATTATGTTCAGAAAAATAAGATCTACAAATAAGATAACCTGGCTAAAATCTTCATTTGACTTCTATAGTTCCTGCCATTGACAACTTTACCCATTTTTTGCATTTTCTGCTGATAGAAAATGCATGTTTACTACCATTGGCTGCTGCACATCTGGTAGATTTCATATAGCATTTATATCCAGTGAATGTTTTGAATCAACCCAAGTTCTTGGTGGGGTTCGTGTTGCTCAGTCTTTGGTTTTTTTTTTATGTTGTTTTGTGTACTGTTGTTTGTCTGTTTGTCGTTTTCTTTTTTAGCCATGGCGTTGTCAGTTTATTTTCGACTTATGAGTTTGAATGTCCCTTTAATATCCTTCGTCTCTCTTTTGAAAAATACGATTAAATCCAATGTTACTGTTAGATAATGTACAGAATTGAAATACAGAACAGATATAAATGAAAACCTTTGTCGTGTTTCAAACTCTGAAGTTGAAACGATATGTTTTCTAAATATAAAATAATCTGGTCGAAAATTTTGACACGGGAACGTTGGACAACAACAATAATACACTCTGTTCCTGAAGCCTATAGAATCTCGGAAACAGCGAGATAATTTTGAGAGCAACCGTACAATTATAACCTGAATAAAAAAAATTCAATTCCCAAAAATAATTGCTTATCAACTATATTACCAAAAGAGCTGTGCGAAATACGTTACATTTTATCATTTTAGAGTGGTTGACGCCATTTCTTTTATTTGAAGTATACATTTTTTAACCATCGGAATAAAATTGAAGCAAAATAATTTAGCCGAAATAAATCAAACTTCTGCACAGGCTGTAAGGGGTATAGCCTTGCAAATGTTATATTTGATTTTGAATTAGAAAATATGGATTGATATGTATTTAGATAGCTGTTTTAACGTATTTATGCGGGACCAAAGCATGAAAATTAATCAAATAACATAAAACATGCAACATAAACATTCACCAAAAAATATTTCTTTGGTATGAAAAGAGAGGCTATGTCTTTCACACTTTCTTTATCAACTTTATAGTAATAAAAAAATGACAAATATGATATTTGGTATAGACGTTGTGGGGTAAACGTCGATGAGAAAGAAATCAAATGACATAATAACCAAGAAATTATATGATGCTAATTTATGGTTAAACAACATTACAAACAAATGAATTCGGAAGCAGAGAGATGCATGGTGAAATATTATTAATAAAAAGAATTGTAGAGTATAATCCCAACGCAACAAATACAAAAAATATTTCCACCAATAGATAATGTATGCCCAAAGTAAAATTCTTGCTTCAAACAAAAGCAATAATTGTATGACGTATTTTCAAGAGTTAATAAGTTCAAATTTAAAACGATTTTAAGATATATTTCGTTTTGATCACCAGCGATTTTCATACAGTTGTACTTTAAAATGTTATATCTGCAATTTTAAGGTGCTTCACGATCTTTTCATGTATGTTTTCCTTATATAGAAAATTAAGGAAGTTTAAAACATTAGTTAAATACGCGTACAATTTGTTGTTTGTCTTCGAATTGTTTTACTTCTCGTTACCTGTTCGGTCAAGTTTGGCTGAAATTTCCCCAAATCTTCTTTCGTTATCATATACATATTTGGCCATCAGTGCTACAACAATAGCATTAATAAATAATAATACGTAGGTCATGTCTATTCAATAAATGGCTAATGGAGTTGATATAAACCAGACAGTCGTGTTCTTTTTTTTGTGTCTAAAGATATACACAAAATAGAACAATGGGTGATAATTTCTTATTTGAATAAGCAGTCAGGTAAGACGGTTGCCGTTCATTCTACATTTAAACTTATCGTGTACCCATAAAGATTTAATGATTTTAACACTGTACAACGTTAATGATTCAGATTTTTAAAAAATTATCCATACGCATAAAAGTTTAAATAACCGTGTTATGTTAAATATGTGTTTAAACCAAACAGGTCAAGTAGTTGAAGTTATGGAGATCTATTTTTTTTATACCGTTGTACTCACAGGTACTTGGGGACAGGACAATATTTTAGTCAAAACACATTTTTTCCAAAATACTGTAAATTGTTTGTTTTCTTTTAATTTAATTTATTTTCGTGTTCTTTAAGTAAGACTTGTATAAATATACTAGAAATAACATTTGTTATTTGTTTACTATCAATTGCAAGTTTATTATACACAGCGATCACTGATAATATACATAATATATTGTTTTCAGTAGGATTTGTTTTTCCGATACATGTACCTGTAAATGAATTGTTGCAGTGAAATTTTCATAAATGTTTAGAGACCCGAGAACGATGTATTTGTTATTGAATATTGTTCCCACCTCGAACATTCTTGAGGGATTGTTCGATTTATCATATGTTGCAATAGACCTTTTCAATAACTCTTAACACCGACTAATGACACCTACTGTTTACAGGTGAAATTAAAGGAGTGGTCGTATAAAAGATGAAAATAATTCAGAAAAAATATAGCATGTACATATTCGATTTAACAGTATTATATAATTTTGAAAAGGAGTTTTCTGGTTTTGTTTAATTTCTCTCTCTTCCATATAACACGACATTTCACGCTGAATTGTTTAACCCTTCAAGTAAAAAGATACTGCAATCAATTCATATTCGAATCCTTTTTTATGATTATGAATGTTTGATTCAGTCATGCTGGATCTAAGTGATCACTCCAGATTTTGAGATGGTGCAGAATTTTAAGTTGAAGATATATCATGAAACTAATTATTTGTTTTTATGACTTGCAGAAACTTTATACACAATTTAAATATTAAATCTATTGCAAACTTTTGACATGTTATTTGCCCTTAAAAGAAGAAAAGATTGGTCGAGCAGCTACTTTATTTTAGATATGCACTTGCATATAGTTCCTTTGTAAATCAAAATTTATTATAAATTACTATAATGAATTAATGTGAAAAATTCACATACATCAAATTTAAGCAGTTAATAAGTGTTGATATGTTGATAAGAATTATGAAAGTATTTTATCGGGATTTTATGCTTGTATAGTAGTTGAATAAAATTTGGTACAAGATGTGTATTGATATCAAAGTTGATTCCCACTCTTTTTTGAAATGATATTATTTTAATTCTTTCTTTATGCAATTAAAGTACTGATACAATACAGTATGATAGACAACTGTCATTATTTACAAACCATTACACTAGTTGGATCGCCTCCACTTTAATGCCAATCTGAATTGACCACAGTTAATATCTCTTGTATTACATAAATGAATACACAAGTATTGACCTCAATAATTGTGGATTCAATCATTTTTTATGTACACTACATACAATTATTCGGTAAATTATGTCTCATAGATGAATGATTAAGGATTAAAAAAATGCATTTTTTGCAAAGAAAAGACTTTTAACAAAATATGTATAAAAAATGCAAGCAGGGTCTATTGTACTTGTAAAATCTGTGTTATAATCTGATATTAGTCAATACTTTAGGTTAATTTAAGTTACAATTATCATTAATTGGCTTGAAACAATAAACAAAATTGCATAACTCGAACCTGGACATTTTCTGCAATTAAATTCATTTGTATATTCCCCTATATATTGCTATTTAACAGTGTAAGGTATTTCTACATGTATATTTGAAAAAAATCACTTATCCAGAGTTGTAATGGTTGTCTATATATGTCTTACAGGAGCTTGTATGGATAATTTGTTTTTTATTAAGAATGAGATCAGAAAAAATGTCGGGCTACCCCTAGCTACAAAATGGCTGGATAACACCATCGACGATGCTTTGATTAGATGTGTGAAGACTACGTCATCTGTCAATAGCGAATTATACTTTTTAGAATGTCTTTTTATTTCTCTTTATTTTATCTTCTCGTTACAAATTTGCGGAGGGTATATTTTAACGTGACAGGCCATCCGTCCGTAACACACGTGTGGATACTGTACATATGGCTTGTATCTCGTCCAATCTTCACCCCACTTAATGCACAAATTCAATATGGGAAGGGTTAGATGCTTTTGACTTTAAAGTACAAAGGACAATGTCGCATTGATATTAATTTATTTTGCGAAGGGGTCCTCCACTTCTTGTCATCCTTTTTAATGCTGAGATAATTAATTCCTTAAAGGACTGGAAATAATTTGGAATCAACTTTCCGTTCCTTTATAGCAATATGCATGTTTATATCTCTAAACTCAGACGTTACTAGAGAACTGACTGCCATTACATAGACTCTTTAGACCAGGCCAAAACTGCTGACCCAAACAGGGGTTTGTTGCCCCACGCTTGAGGTAATCCCTTTGAAAGTTTTATAGTCGTCATCACGAGCTTTTTGACCGTTGATCAGCATATTGGCCAACAATTCACATTGATGCAGCAAACTGGAAGTATGGACCGCTATATTTCATATAATTTTTATTATGTATTGAGATTAAATATACCAAAATCACCGTCCTTTTGTTATACTATTTTATTTAAGGCACTTCACATCAATCCGTAAGCCAGAAAATTTGGAGGAAAGACATTTTTTATTTTCATTTTCATTCACAAATCTGCTGATCAACTAAATGCTGTATTCAGTAACAATACAATTAGATGTTCGATTAAAATTAAAAACATTGTTTGATTTCAAAAATACAGGTTATTTTTCATTTTCCAAATTTCATTAAGGAAGCTAGAAGATCATCGTCTAAAAAGATGAAATAAAATATTTAGACCAATCCGGCCTTTTTTCATACTCAATTCAAAAATAGGTGAATTTTAATTAAGAAACGATTTAAAACCAAGAACAAGAAACGTATCGTTGTGTTAAGTATAACCATGGAAGTATTATATTGTCACTATAATACTTCCATGGTATAACAGACATACATGATGTATATGAAGTCAGTAAACTACTAGTAATTTTTATGATCATATACGATCATTCCTACTTTTGAGACGACCCTAACATGTTACGCTCTTTTATCTGTCGTTGTCAACTGTAGGTGTAGGCAATTGTCGAAAAGGTATAATGGAAATAAGGTAACATTCTTAGTTCGCTCACCGACATTTCTTGACTATTTATTTCGCAAATTGAATATCGAAATAGAACTTGATGTTCAACATAAGGGAGATGGATATTTAGTTTCCGTAAAATTTACAAAAAAGATTGGGATAGCATCCAAAAAGTTATGTAAAGACAGAGGCGAATGTCAACAGTTTATTATGGAATTGTAAAAATTATCATATGATTTAATGTTTTGTAAAAAAAACTGTGATAGTATAGCTTTGTTTTCTCATAACCTGTTTATGTAGAAACTTTAAGACATTAGACAAAATTTTTAGCACTAACACTATTTCAATAAATACAAATGTAGTTATAGAAATACAGTTTACCAGAAAAGTACATATAACTGTTAAAAAGTATAGCGTGACAGTGGAAATGATAATCTATAAGCATTAATTTGTATTATTTGATAACAAGAATTTACAATGTAGTTAGTGAATCTCAGATTAATAAGCTCCATAATATAAACCTCATAAAATGTATTTTACGGTTAAACGTCATTTGATAAAGAGGTTTTCTCTCTCTAATATGTATAACAAGCATTTTAAAAGAAAATGGAGTTAATCTTCAATATTTCAATCAATTTCTATATAAGAAATAAATCATTTCAAAAGTATTTAACAGTATAGTGTAGAAAAGAAAGTTGATCTTTTATATTCCAAACTGAATATGTTCGAATAAATAAACCCCTTGCTCATGTTATGGCGTTTCATTTATAAATCGTTACAAGTTTTAGTTTTCTAAAAAGCTTTGGAGTGCTTCGCTGTATCATACTTTTAGGTAAGATGTGGTTTATGCGATAGTTAAATTATGGGAAAGGTGTTATTTATCTCCTTTGTGCATATACTTATAAGTGTGGTATGACTTTTATAACCGACTATACGTTATTGGTTTTTCTCATTGTTGAAGGTCGTACGGTTGCCTATAATTGCTTACATCCACTTCATTAGAACTTTAGTGGATAGTTGTCTCATTGGCATTCACACCTCACCTCCTTATTTTTATATTATACTCATACGTTTAGTATTATAAGCCCTTAGATGTGGCGTATTATTGTATACTGTTGTTTATATATTAATACTACCTAAAAGCCAATTCCCCAATAATTCAAACGGAACATTAGGGTTGATAGAAAAAGCTTCCTTTTGATTTTTAAAATTCTTAAGTGGTATCATTCAAGAAATACCGTTTGATTTTGAAAATCCATGCCTTGTCATTTCACATTTACGGGATTTTGACGGGCGGATTATATAAAAGTAAAAACTTCTTGTTATGCATTAGATCTAGTATGATCGGATCAATTTACTACAAACTTTTCAATGTTGTTGCTATTGGTGAATGTAGAATTGGTTTGGATATTGAACATTTTATGGTTTGTCGTTCCAGAGTTATGGGACTTTTAATAGTTATTTCTGACGCAATATTTATTTGCATATGGATAACCTCATGCATGTTTTCCTAAACAGATATTTTACTCGGACTTATTGTTAGATGCATCCTAAATATTCAAGATTATTCTCACAGCAATTCTGATGTACAATTCGGGGGTGTCATGTGCTCTTAGCGTAGTTGTTTTATATATATCATTTGGTTTTGTAACATGGAATACATGTATTCTGACAAAATTTGTGAAGATCATTGGCAGTAACATGCATCTTAAGTGTTAGCGTATATGGATATATAG